GGGGAGGGAGGGGAAAAATGAGGATCTAATGCCGGGGGCTTAAGTGGAGAGGAAATGTTTTGAGAATGATGAGGGCAATGAATGTACAAATGTGCCTTACACAACTGATGTATGTGTGGATTGTGATGAGTCATATGAGCCCCTAATAAAACGATTAAAAAAAAGATTTATAATCTCCTGACCTTAATTGGCTCTGGGTTGCAAGTTCTTACTTGTTCCACGACAGAAATCTCTTCCCTGGCTTTTTGAATGTTGATGGGGGTCTTTTCTTTCTTACTCATTACTTGTATTTTGGTATTTATATTCTTATTATTTTATCCTTACCACCGCATTTCTAATTTGGTCTTTATTGTTTCTGTTGGGAGGAGTGGATGCATAGTGATTACACAAGGATTGAAAGGGGATGCAGGGTTGGGGGTGGGTAATAGAGTGAAGGGGGTACAAATGAAGGTGGGGGGAGTGGGGAGGGAGCACTGGGACTGTGATTGCACAACTAATTTTAAAGGGGCTTTAACCTTGGGGAGTGGGTAGGTTCTGAATTCTCCCTGACATGATTAAGCAATTGAACTATTGAATCATCTGCTATGTAAATGATGTGCAGAAATACTGTTGTATATATATATATAGTTTAAAGTCTCAGAAAATGCAGAGGCACTTCCATCTGTGCTCTAGGTTCACCGTAAGTTGGAGTCTACCAGTTGGCTTTGAGCAGGACCAACAGGAGAACTGGTCATCAGGAACCCTCCGTATTGTTGACCACCATGTACCTAGCCCAGTGCCCGCCATGTGATGGTGGTGGTGGCGGCAGCGCTGCTGGCTCTTAGCTCCTAGAGACACTGGCCACAATGAACGGCAACTCAGCCCAGTCCTCCACCGTTCATTCCCACAAGTGCTTACGGGTCAGCCCTTTGTGATCCATCGGGCTTTTATTGACTGGTCTTTGGAAGCAGATTGCCTGACCTTTCTTCCCAGCTTATCTTAGTCTGAAAAGTCACACGCAAAACTCCCCTGACTAACAGGTGGTGACCGTGCATGAGGTGGCTTGACTGGGAACAGAATCCGGGTCTCCCATGTGGAAAGCAAGAATTCCACTATGAGTCCCACGGTGCCTCCGAGTACAGGGCAGGGCATGAAGGAGCAGGCAGGAGTACAGGCCTGGACCCTCCAACACATCGCCCCTGCTCTCCCAGCTTCTCCCTATAGGTTGACCTTCTCTGCTCACATCCGGAGGATATGGGGTACAGCCTGCAGCTCCCCCAAGTTTGCACGCTCGGCCATAGTCACTCCAAGAGGTAGCAGGAACAGAATGTGGTCTCTATGCCTAGTTCCTAGACCAGAGACCCCCGAGAGGCTCAGCTTGACTAAGTACAACACACACACACACACACACACACACACACACACACACAGACACACACACAGAGCTTCGATCACAGATCAGTGAGGCACATCGTGCGCCAGACAGTGTACCCCTGTGGATGGGGCAGGGCAGTTTCCAGGAACAGGAGAGTTAGGTGTCCTTCAGAGAGAGCATCGCTTCTGGGCCCTCAGCCTGCGCGCCCACATCAGCTTCAGTCCTCAAGCTCCTAGCTGCGGCCGGCGGCGACTGTTGACTCTGACCTGGGCACCCGCGTGCAGAGGACTGTCCACACGGCCCTCAAGGCTGTGGTCTTTCACACGCAGATCACCAGGCCTGTCTTGTGAGGCACTTCTGGGTGGATTAGAGCTGCCAACCTCTGGGCTGGTGGTTGAGTACTTAACCATTGTCACCAACCACAAGACGACTCAAGTGACCACCCCCTGCTATGGAGTTCCTTCTAACCCACAGGGACCGGCCCTCTGGAGTCTGGAGGGTTTCTGAGCCGAGAAGCCTTGAGGAGAAGACAACCTCATCTTTACCTTGTGGAGCACAGAGTGAGGGCAGGTTCTTACTTCCTTTATAGGTAGGGCAACGGAACATGCAAGCAGCTAGTTTGCTCAAAGATACAAATGGTCAGGCCTGCCCGCAGGAAGGAGAACCCCCCCACCCCCACCCCCCTCGTGGCGGCCCCTCTCATGGCTGCCCTTGGTTTCCTCCTTACTTTAGGTTTGATGAGGCCCATGTTTCCCAATGTGGGTGACACCACCCCCTGGAAGATGCTGGAATGATCCAGGGGGCTGCATAAGCAGACGGCGGCCCTTTGTCCTGGATCATGGGTGATTGTACCAAAGTGGTTAATGGCCAAGGAGGCTCTGAGGACTTTTCATTCTGAAAGGGGCGGTGGGCCCAGTCCGTCTGGGAAGCTCTGGTTCAGGCGGGGTCATGCCCGGTAAGAGGGGCGCTGTGCTGCGGAGCCACTGACTTCGCAGTCAAGCCCGGGGAGTACGTGAGTGAGCAGAAGCACGGCAGGCAAGCGTTCCTCTGTTCTTTATTAATGAGTCCAGGTACACAAAGACTGAGGAAAACGGCACATGAAAGGCTCGCGCATCATCGAGATCCCCAGGCACCGCTCCCGTCTCGCGACAATGGCCGTCTGGGAGGGCTGGGAACGGAAGCCGGCGCGGCGCGCATGGGCACTCACGGTCACCGATTCAAGTATCTTCCACTGTAAGTGAACCCGACACGGGACTTCAAGCTTCATGGGCTGCTAATGGGGAGAGCCTGTCCAGGGCCACGTCTCAGGGGCCTGACGGTCCGAGCTGCCACGTGTTAGTGGTCACAGCTCCTGGCAGAGAGAGACAGGCCACTTCGGGCCCAGTACGTGCTCTCCACAGCAAGCGCAGGGAGGTGGCGGGCGGAGGCCCGTGACAAACCATTCGAGTTGGTTGGAAACCAACAGCCCACCACCTATCGCCCTATGGGACCAAGTGCAGAGGAAGCATGAGCCCCGGCCATGGCCCGGGCTGCGGCAGGTGGCGATGGCTGGGATTCCTGCTGGGGGGAAGGAGCTCCTAGGGAGTGCCGGACTAGTGGGAAGGAGTCTGAGAACACACGGTGTCGAAGGCATGGGGTGCTCCAGGCATGCCAAGCTGGCACTACTCAGGGGCCTGGAAACCAAGGAGCACATCGGGATGCCCCCAGTGGCTCCTCGGTCCTGGAGTCATGTGACAAACTGGTCCCCCAGCTGACTCTACCAGGAGAGCAGAGAAGATGCCAAGCAGGTGCTAGGCCTGCCATGCTCACAGGGATGCTCTGGCTTATCCAACAGCCTCAGCTCTAAAACCAACCTGTCTTTTTAAGTGTTCTCTACTCATGTCCGATGGGGAAAACGAGACCGCGGACATTGCAAAAGGTCCTCCCTTAGGCAGTTTCTCCGCTAGGCACTGTGGAGTCCAGCGGCGGGCTGTGTGCAGGACAGAGCCCTGGCAGATGGGGCCAGGGACCATCAGAGCGCTTTGTCTGTCTGGGAGTTGGGAGGATGTGCCCTGATGTACACTGGTGCCCAGGAGCCAGGCTATTGATCCTACCTTCCTTTCTGCTTCCTCCATGGCTACAGGTCCCACTCCAGCCCAACTGGTCGACTTCCAACGACTCCTCCCACTCCCTCACTGCTGCCAAGGCACTGTAGCCTGCACTAGGTAGGAGGATGCTGATGGCGGTCCATGCCCAGTACCTGTTTTCTAGCAGCAGATACTGCCCTGTGAGCAGGGCTTCCTGTCCCACTCCACACTTCGACACAGAGCATCTCCATCCTTCTCCCTGCCCCTTCTTCGGGGCTGCTGGGAGCCTCTGTGGAGCTGCTCACACCCCCAGGAGCACAGGGTTTGTCTGTTTCCTGTTTAAAATGCTCACTCGTGTTAAAGGACCCTGGGAAACTCTGAAGTGCCTCATCTGGAATGTTCTTTGTTACCCTTTCCTTGAGGGAATTATTTAGACAGATAAGAAGTTTTCTCTCCAAAGGACAAGACACCCAACGGTTTCGTCCTGCAGGGGCCTCTGTCTTCAGCTGCGTGCCTCGGGCTGCCGACTTTGCTGAGTGAGCAACTCTACGGGACTTCGGGACTTTGGACTTCCGCGGTGGGAGTGGAATCCAGGCGTGTCGGTGCGGATCTGCGCTCCCTGGCTCTGTGCTTGCTCTTCTCCACGGCGGGACCAGGCTGGCTGCTGGGGATGTCTTCATCTGCCTGGAGGCCAGATGGGCAACATCTGGTACGTGAGGCCACGAGCTGTGCCATCTCGAGACATTCTCTTGGGCACGCTGCTGTTCTGGCCGCCTGGGTCCTGGCCAACCCAGTCTTGGGCGCGCACCAGCAGCTCCTGGGGCAGAGGGCGGTGGGCACCGGCAGGTCGTCGGGGGCCCTGGGCCCTTGCAGAAACAGGTGCGTGGGAGCCAGGCTATCAACCCTGGCTTCCTTTCTCCTCCAGTCACATCTTAGGGTCAAGATCCCAGGGGCGCGTGCCAGAAAGGCAACCTAACAGTGCGTGTGTGCATGCCGAGGCTCCGCCTGTGTGCCGGGCTTGCAGGGGGGTGTCAGTTGCCTCAGAGGGCCAGTGGCTTTGGGTCTTTCATGGTGCTGGTTCAGTGGCATGGAATCCATTTGGGTTAGGATGCTGCATGAACTAACGTTTTCTGGAGGGCATCTACATGAGCTTCCGTGGACACGGAGAACTGTGGGCTGTTGACATCACAGAGGCACAGGTGATGAGGACCGCTTGGAGCAGCCCAGGGACCCCGGCACGTACACCCACGCTGTCTGCAGCGTGAATGCACGCCTTTGCAAAGCCAGTCAGCTCCCACATTTCCTGTTTTCAAACAGACATACCCGACTCTCCTCTGAGCAAAATCCATTTCCATTTCCCAAGCTGCGCGTGCTCGACGTTACCAAGGCGCTCTGGGTAAACACATCTCTCTTCTCTCCGACGGGTATGCTACTCACGGGGCCTGCTTCCCTCCTAGGTCTGACCCAGGCCCGGGGGCGGCCAGCAGTGCTGCCCATCGGCTTCCGTGGTCTAAGTCACTATCCTTTCAGGCTGAGTTGAGTTTTGACACTGTTGGGGAAACTCAGTTTCAAAAAAACCACCAAAACACAAACCTTCCAGAGAAGTCATCAGAGGGGCCTTCTGAAGACGAAACCAGGCCCCTTTAATAAAATAATAATCACTAAATTCATTTTTCAAATCTAGCTAAGACATCCAAGCTTCAACACCGTTGACTGGGGAGGCCAGGGGGAGAGTTTGCTCATGGCTTGATTTGTACCTGTACCTGCACGTGCAAGGACACCTGCCCGTGAAAATGACGCGCTGCAGATAAAAGCAACCACACACCCACTGGGAGAGGGGCCGGGAGGGGTGAATCACACCGGAGGGAGGGGCTTGGATGGCGAGTCTGTCGGTGTGTCGCTCGCTGCCTTGTTTCTGTGAGAGAGGCCGAGCCAGACCCCATCTCCTCCCTGCTCACCCTCCCACTCTCCCTTCCCGTGCCGAGTCCCTGGGCAGAGGGTCGTGGTTAGAAATGGTTTTCAGTGTCGTTAGGCAGTGGAGGGCTCCCGAAGACCGGCCAGTTCCTGGTCACCGTGCCCTGGACGTCAGGCCCATCACAGTATCACACACTGCAGTTTGTGGGTGCCAGTGGTCCGGTCTCCCCGCCATTTGGTTTTCTTCTTCTTCTTCTGGCTTTTCTCAGGAATCTGCTGCCTTTGGAGCAAAGAAGAGCAGAAAAACACAGTCAGACAGGGCTGGGCTCCTCCCCAGCCTTGCCAGCAACTCGGTGGCCTGAGGCCTGTTCTGACCAGGCAGAGGGCTGCTGCCCTCCTTGCCCGGAGAGCGCCTCTGAGGCCAAGCAATGAGGAAGCTGAGGACAGAAAGACCTCATCGTCCTACTGATTAAACTACGGGCATTCACCAAAGCCAGGAGTTAAGTCACAAGCAATGCCATGTTTTGTGTTTAATACCGTATTGGCCTCTCCTGGGTTTTCTCTTTTAAATAAAATCACAGGTCTACTGAATACAACAGCCTTTTACACGCTTTCTGTTCACCCTTCCTACGGCTAAAACTTGCCCGTGGAACTGTAGAGCCTCAATCAAGAGCCACGGTGGCGTAATATCCTAACTGCAGGCAAAATGCCCAAGAGAAAACCATTTCAGGAGTGCAGCCCGGGGCGGTCCCAGCAAAAGCCTCAAGGGAAGGCTCCAGGGTGGGTGCGCTGGTTAAAGTCGCATGGCAGCCTGGCTAGGCCATGATCGTCAGATGCCACGGAACCAACTTCCATTTTGTCATCTGCTGTGACTGGTCAATCAGGTGGACGGGGTGTGGCCTGCATCCAATCTATATGGATGTCCTGGCAGGCGTGCTCCGTCTCAACACTGCGTCTGACTAGACGTCATCTGACCTCTGCTTCTTGAGACATGCATGGCGAATTTTCGGGTTTGCCAGCTCTTATAACGACATGGGGGTTTCAGGAGAACCTCCCGCCTGACACCTAACTCACTTGCTCATCTGTACACCCACATGTGCCACCTGCTTGAAATAAATCCCGCTCTATATTGATATATATGCGCCATTGGTTTTTGTCCTCTAGCAAACTGAGACTAAGACAGTGGGGAATATTAAGAAATTAAGACTGTTGAGTGTGTGTGTGTATGTGTGTGTGTGTGTGTGTGTGTGTGTACATGCACATATGCATGCAATGTGTCATGGAGTTGAAGATGGCAGGCGGAGAAGGAAGCTGGCACCTCCTAGGTTGGATGGCGCAGATAACCGGTAGAGCGCACCAACATAAAGGAGCATGCTCAATGAACAGTGCTTGACAACCACTGGGTAGGTCACTCTGAATGTCGGGGATTTGGAAATGGGCAAAAAAGAAGGGTGGCATCAATCCCAGTCAAGAAGCTGCTCTGACCATCCAGGCATGAGGTAATTAAAATCTGGATTCTGACCGTGCAAAGGAATAGAAGAGGGTCTCTTTAGCAGGCAAGGAACCCTGGCAGTGTGTGTGGTATGTTGTGCACCGAGCCCACCAGCCGCTCCTTAGGAGAAAGATGAGGCTTTCTGCTTCCGGAGAGACTGACAGCCTGGGAAGCGCAGAGCGGCTACTTTGTTCTCTTATTTGGGGACTCCAGCCAGTTCCTGAGAATATCTGGAGAGGGACAGTATGTGGCTTCTGGAAAGGAAGTCCATCAACAATGCCTTGGAAATGTGGGCCTGGGAATCAGAATGCTAGCTGTGCAGATAAAATGCTGAAGGGCACTCGGATAGCAGCCTCGGGAGAGGAGACAGGCCTACACTTTACCAAGTTGAACACGTCGGTGCTGGGCGAGCGTGGGGCCGGATGGAGGCAGGGCCTTCCAGGCAGCCTGAGCTGCAGGCTGAGAGGTTGGCAGGGCTGACCCTTCAGGAGGGATTTCCATTTAGCTATGAGTACTGGGTTTACCCACAGACCTGTCCACAGCTGGGGGATGAGAGAGTGAGGGGGTACAGAGGAGAAAAATGGACAGAGGTATAGGAAATCCAAAAATAGGAATGGACCAGGCTGATGATTCGACAAGATGAACGTGATTCATTGTACAGGTGAAAGAAATGGGAAAATGGCAAATGCTTTGTTACATGTATCTTTACCACAAAAAAAGAAAGAAAGAAAGAAAGAAAGAAATCCAAGAATAGGGCCAGGATCCCTGAGCCCCACAGGGCCCAGGTGGAAAAGCTGTGTCCGCGGCTGGAGCGTCCAGCCACACAGCCCAGCGCCCCTCTGGGCTGCCTGCGCAGCACTCACCTGATGACTCTGACCAGGTCGTGGAAGGCTTTGTCAACATTGAGAGGGGGGTCCTTGGCACTGGTCTCTATGTACGGGATCTGAAAGGCAAAGCTGAGCTTGGACAAAGTGGCATCAAGTCACACGAAGGCCTGTGAACCTTTTAAAACACAGATGCTCAGGGGTACTGAGGAGTCAGGCCTTTGAAAGGCCCCTCTAAGTAGCTCATGGCTCCTGGGGTGCTGGCCTCTCTATCTTGAAGGTTGGGCAGTTTGACTAACAGCTTTTAATTCCCTCCACCCTGAACCCCACCCCCAATTTTCTCACTCATTCACCCACTCACTGGAGACAATGTAGACTCATAGACCCCTTGTGGGTTTCCAAGACTGTAAAGGTTTACAAGAGTTGGTGGTTTTGAACTGCCAATCAAGAGGATTGCAGCCCAACTCTTAACCACTATACCACCAGAGCTCCTCTTGTTCTCTGGTCACAGAGATATTTAACAGTTTCCTAAAAATAGAAGAAAACTCTCGCTTTTTCTGGCATATGTGAAGAGTGAAGAGGGTTTCATTTGTCAGACCAAAATACTTTCTGATACTAGTCATTTCCCTTTTCCTCTGTGTTCCTATCTTGGGGTGACTTCGGCCCCTCCTCCCAGGCCCTCCAGAGTAGATTCTGCTGGCCAAGGCTGGGCTGGGCTGTGAGCAGGACATAGCCCTGGGCCTCTGGCCAGTTACCCTGCCACACACTGGCCTGCCCACCCCACTCTGCCCTGAGGCTGTCTGACGTTCTCTGGGCTGTTTGGTTTTACACTAGGGAGCCCAAGTTCCAGGTCCCCACCCCAGGCCTGCAGAGGGGATGGGGTACTGACTTCCCACACGCCCGGCCCCCAACAAGCACAACCTACATTGTGTTTGGCCGCCATTTCTTTTCCTTGCTCCCTGGTGATCTTCCTCAAATGCATCAAGTCGACCTTGTTGGCCACGAGGATCATGGGGAACGACTCCCTGGGAAGCAAAGCAAAAGTGGCTCAATGAGGTTTCACTACCCCCGCGGGCAAGACCGGGCCCCCAGCACCTCCTCAGTGGGCCTCTGAGGTTCTGGGAAGGGGCAGGGAGTTGGGGCAAGACTTAAAAAAAGGCAAGACCTGGGGCCTGGGGGGAAAAGGGGGCCTGGGACTGCTGGCTGCCTTGCTTTGAAGCCTTAACCCTGTTTTAAGGGCAGGGGCTGTCCCGGGATCCGGCTCCAATGCACATCACCACTGCTGGTGACAGGGACTTCACAACAATGTAGCGGTCATGCGTGCAGGGCTTTGGGACCACTTCGGAAGGGCGCTGGGGGCAGGGCCTGGCACACAGTTGGCAGTGGATAAATGGCAGTGGAACGAGAGGACTGATCCAGGAGGGAGTGTAGAACTCACGAGGCCCGTCTACCTGAAAAGTGTCATCGCCGCACGCAGCCAAGGCGCATTCTGTACGCGAGTGCCACACGGGACTCTCAGCACCGTTAGTAACACTGGGTTTTTTAAAAGTCTAATTTAATAGGTGGAAAATCGCCCTCTCATATTTTCACTTGCATTTCACTGATGAGGAAAGAGGTTAAATATCCTCCTACATCAGAATCATTCGGTTGTGTTTTTCCTTTTGCGTTTCACATATTCAGAGGCATGACCCACATGTAACCTATTGGAGCTGTGAGTGTGTGTGTGTATCTGTTAGCACTGTGCCTGGGGAACAGGCATGAACTGGGGTTCTCCAGCTGTCCTGGGGTGTGTTCAGGGCTGGCCGTCTTCCCATCAGCTTGTCCTCTGGTTTCCTTTATGCCGCCTCTTTGAATGCCAACGAACTGCTTTCTGCTGAACTGACAAGACCAGTCGGGCTTACAGCAGACTGCAGATGCTTTACTTACTGCACCTCAGACTAAGGGGGAGACCCTTGGATCAGGGAGCAGAGGCTGAGGCCTTGGTGCAGTGTGGCCCTACAGAAGAACCCGGGGGGAGTGAGAGGGGCCGAGGCCTGAGTCTGGCTCTGTCCTCCGAAGGAGAGCGAGCCCAGCCTGGGCCAGGGGGCCTGCACCCGCCCTCACCTGTCCTTGACTCGGAGGATGAGCTGGTGGAAGCGGTCCACGTGCTCGAAGCTGGCCTTGTCAGTGACTGAGTAGACGATGAGGAAGCCGTCGCCCGTCCGCATGTACTGCTCCCGCATGGCGCTGAACTCCTCCTGCCCGGCCGTGTCCAGAACTGGGATGGGAAGAGACACGCAGGAGCTGCCACTGCCCAGCCTGCACCCCTGTGCTCCCCACAGAAAGGCACCCCGCCGTCCTGGGGCTGGGCAGTAACGGGGCGCAGTAGGGGGGGTGGTTATGCTTCAGGGCCAGGCTCTAATTGGCTTGTTTATGGATCCACCAAGCCCTTCTCCCAGATTCCAACCCATGGTGCTCTCTGGGCCTAAATTCTCTAACCTCCAAAACCCCCATACAAACACCAAACTCCCCGCCATTCAGCCCATGACTGCTGACTCACAGCAAGCCTGCAGGACAGGGTGAAACTGCCCCTGTGGGTGTCTGAGACTGTAACTCTTTACGGGAGCAGGAAACCTCATCTTTCTCCCTCAGAGCGGCTGGTGGTTTCAAACTGCTGACCTTGTGGTTTGCAGCCCAACTCATAACCACTATGCCACCAGGGCTCCTGACCACAGAATGGCCTCAAGAGTTCCTGTGGGGCATCCTCAGCGCTGCTGCAACCCATGAGGGCTGGGGTTCTTGGGGAGCTCAGCTGATTCCCCAGAGCCCCAATTCCTCTCTATAAACTAGAAGCTCTGCCAGGAGAGAGGAGGGATAGAGGAGAGAGAGAGAGAGAGAG